GAAGAGAATGAAATTTAAATGGTAGATCTTGTGATGTCGTAGTTAATTTGATGAATTGATGCTATTAAAAGTTAGTTGTGAAGTTTAAAATGACAAACTCTAATTTTTGTTTGATGGTTATGTAGTACGAAAAAGAGTTAATGTTTATGAATAGTTGAGCTAAGTATTGTTATTGGTAAATTGAAAAATGTGATAGTTAAAAAGTAATTAATAGATGATTGTACTAATCATTGTGAACTAGAAATGGAAAGTAGAGAGAGAATGAAGTAAATGATTATTAGACAATATTGGTAATATTGAGGTGTGGAAATGTTATGAGAATCACACTATCTTGTTTATAAGAATTTATATTATTACTATTAAATGCTTAGAGATTTTGTCCTTGATCATCGGTAAAAGATGATATTACTTGTTGTAGAATTGATGTGAAATAGGTTGATAAAAAACCTTATGTGTTGTTGATTAACTGCATAATTATGTAATTATATGAGAATGAATGGAAAGAAATTGAGATGCACATGTTACGGAATGTGATTGTGCTATATAGAGGTAACGACATCCTTCCGACTAGTAACTAGTAAAGCGAGCTGATGTGCTATATAAAGGTAATGCATTCCTTTCGGTTAGCACCATGTAAAGCAGGCTGTGCTATATAGAGGTAATGTCATGACCCGAACCCACCCCTATGGGTTAAGGACATAACCGGCCAGCAATCTAGAGATTACCTACGGCCTCAGACCAAAACAGACATAACTTGTCAGAGTAAAGGGGCCAAACGGAAGCAATAAATAAAAACTTTGTCCATAGAGCCGTGCTTATATGCACATCAACAGACCATATTCAGTTACGTTAATAACCCACATCAAAAGTATAGTTGCACGAAATTCATTACAGACCGGATCATCCAAAACGAGTCAACCTATGACGGACTATTTACAGATATACATAAAGTCCTTGCCGGCAAGACAAAATATAGTTACATAACAAAAGGCAAGGGTAGGTCTCAAGAGTGAGACGCAAGGCTGACTTCCCCAAAACTCGGATTTTCCTAGCAGGTTTCACTGGGGCTGGGTTTGTACTTCCCTTGGCTCACCTACAAACACATGAATGAGCGTGAGCGATAGCCCAGTGAATAATATCAAATGCAACCATGTAGAACAACATATTCCAAACGGCCTTGGGCCCAATTCACATTTCCACTTAACATATATATATATATATATATATATGTACATTTATACGAAATTTAGATTAAGTGACTGTAGTTCCAACATACTAGCCTTCGGCCCATTCAGGTTTCCATTCTTGTCGAAACGGCCTTTGGCCCATTCATTTATGTCAAAACGGCCTTCGGCCCATCCATTTATGTCAAAATGGCCTCTAGCCCATTCGTTTATGTCGAAACGGCCTTCGGCCTATTCATTTCTGTCAAAATGGCCTTTAGCCCATTCATTTACGTCAAAACGGCCTTCGGCCCACTCATTCATGACAGAACGACCTTCGGTCCATTCATATAGGTCAAAACGACCCTCGGCCCGCTCATTTACATCAAAACGACCTTCGGTCCATTCATTTACATCAAAACGACCTTCGGTCCATTCCTTTACATCACAACGACCTTCGGTCCATTCCTTTACATCACAACGACCTTCGGTCCATTCCTTTACATCACAATGACCTTCGGTCCATTCATTCTTATCGAAACGACCTTTGGTCCATTCATTTATTCCTGTCAGACTTTTGTCCACAATCCCAATTAACAACTCATAAAGTTTATAAGGGAATAACAATTGGACATTGACAAGCTTTCAAATATTGATATTACTCACAATGATCAGCTTGTGGATTTGCCCTGGAGCTTGACCCTACACATTTCATGAACACAAAAGGGTCATTAACAGTTCAATCCGTTCTTTAATTCACATATTCCTCTTTAGGCTTTATTATTATCTCATTAACTCATTTACAATGCTTAACATATGCCTAAGAGTGCTTGTGAGTGAAAGAGAACGGAAAACAGAACACGAAATGCAAAAACAGGATTTCAGAAAATAGGGTCCCCGCTCGAGCGTGGACTTCCCCGCTCGAGCGGACCCTTAGGTCTGCGAAAGTACTGGTTGCCTTCAATTCCAGCTCGAGCGTGAACTCGGCCGTTCGAGCGGACTGCCTGTCTACATAGCTCCCCGCTCGAGCGTCAACTTCCCCGCTCGAACGGGAACCATGTCTGCAGAAAATGCTGGGAGCTCGATTTCTCCGCTCGAGCGGCACTTCCCTCCGCTCGAGCGGAAGTCAAAATTCTGGAAATTCCAGATCGTGTTCTTGAGCTTCAATTCAATTTCCCAGCTACCACTCCTGCATACAAAGGTTCAAATCTCAAATATAATCATACTAACATGGTACAAACACCAAAACACATTATTATGGAGCTCAATTTCAAGGATTACACACTTGCATGTCTCAAATTGACACCAAATCCAATTCTATCACACATATTCATGCATTTCAAGCTCCCATCTTCAATTATTCAAACATGCATGCCCATCTTGACTTCATTTCTAATTCAAAAGATGCAAGTGGTGCCTATTCCCATAAAGCTCAACAAAACCAAGCTTGCATGCATGATCAAACTTCAAATCTTGCTTAATTGACATGATACATGCTAGATTTTGCAACTTATGGCAATTCAAAAGTAATCTTATGTATGCATGGTCATATCTCCACAAAACCAATTTAAATCATGCTCTTGACTACAAAAATACTTTGAGCTCACAAGATTGCAAGTTCAATTCATGATTTCAAGAGTCAATGGCTTACCTAGAAGTCCAATTCTTCAATCTATGGTCGAATTTGAGTTGGACTTCAAAATTCCAAGCCCTCAAGATCAAACACAGATTTTTCTCTCTTCTTTCTCTCTAATGGCCGGCCCTCTCCTCTCCTTAGAGTGTATATCAGCCAAGTGAGAATTAGAGAGGGAGTTTGATTGAGTAATGCTCATATACAACAAGCCCTACTAACAAGTATTTTAATATAAAATAATGGGGTACTTAATTTATCAATTTAATCAATTTAAATTGACTAGAATCAATTTTCAATTAAATTTCACCATAGGCTCTAAAAATTATGCCAGTTACAATGGCGTAATCACTTTCAGGTTCTATGGCCGATAAGGCCCTCAATTTAATTCCCGAAGCGGATTATTCAAACAGATATTCCTACGATGAACAGATAAAACTTCAAAATCATATATATTCGCATAATGGCACACAAAATCATATCAAAACACATAACCATAACAAATTAAGGACCAATTTAGCATAATACAGAACAGGGGTATCACAGGTAATGTGTTCCTTTCGGCTAGCAACCGGTAAAGCAGGTAGACGTGGGTCTTGGTGATACCATGATGGTAATGTGGGGCTTAGCGAGACCACAAGTTGTTTATTTTATTACGAGATTTTATTGCTAATAAAACTTTTAAAAATGAAAAAACTGATAATATTCTCAATTTTAAAATTGAAAAAAACTAATAATGTTCTCAATTTTATTAGATAGTTGAATCAAACCAATAAGTAGAAAGGCAAAAATATTTAATCCCATGCTCTGTTTTTTTCATCAATTACTGAAACAATTATTTAGAACATTACTATGCAAAATTGATAATGTTCTTAGTTTTAAAAATTAGGAAAAAACTAATAACATTATCAGTTTTACTAAATAGGACTTATTAGTTCAAAAAATCTTAGATCAAACTTGAGCTACTATAACATTTGTAAATAGAACTGTTAGGTAATTAACTCATATATATATATAGAGAGAGAGAGAGGATATCAGTGGTGAAGATCGGTGATCGATCTACGACCAGTGAAGAACAGCGACGACAGAGGTGGTGGTGGTCAGTTGGCGGCGACGAAAGTGAAGAGAAAAGGAGAGGGGAGAGAGAGAGAAAGAGTAGCGATGGAGGTGAGAGGAAAATTTGAGAGACGGCAGCGGACGACAACGGAGGATAGAGGCATGAGGTCTGAGATCTGAGTGGACTAAGAGGCAGTGGTTCACATACACCATATTTTAGAGAGAGAGAGAGAGAGAGAGAAACAGGGAAATGGTTGTTAAGAGATGAGATACAATATATATATGCATAAGTATTTTGCCCTTTTTGTCTAAGCTTGTCCTTATGGACAAACTATTTCAATGCTTGATTTTTTGACCAAATAAAATTTAAATTTAGATTTTTGGGCCGAGCGTCCCCAAATATTTGTGAATTTTTTTAAAAAAAATCAATAAATACATGAAAATATGAAATTGTGTTGAATTTTTATATTTTTTTATTTAACGAATTTTTATAAGACTTTTTGACAAAATTTATACTTTTAAATTTATTTAGATTAATAGAATCAAAAAAATAAAAATTTTGATTAAAGTATTTTAAAAATAAAAAAATAAGAATTAAAAACCAAATAGAGGCACATATTAATAAGATCCTTTTAACAATTTTTTTGCTCATTTTTTTCTTCTCATTTTTAGTTTTTTTTTTTTTAAAAAAAATTATAAAACCTTTCATTTTTATGTTGTACTAAATTAGGACTATTTTAAGAAATTATTAAATAAGGAATATAGAGGAAGGTCAAAAAGGGAAGAAAGTAATTAATAATAAGGAAAATCAAGACTATAGATTTTATCGAAAGATTAAGAACTTTGAAGTAGAAATTACACTTAAAAAGATGAAATCAAATAAGATTTTAGGATCCGATAATATCTCTAGTGAAACTTGGAAATGTCTTAATAAAAAGAAAATTACTTAATTGACTAGGATATTTAGTAAGATTTTATTAACTGAAAAAATACTAGCTTTGTAGCTACATCCCTTAAGTTATCCATTTAATTATTCATTTTTCTCCATTTAAATTATCTAAATAAATAAAAAAAATACATATCTACTCATTTTTATGTATTTTTTTTTTTCTTTGCTCTCCAAATCCCTCCATCCAAATGTAGCGTTAAAAGAAGATAATTTGAGGGCCAATCTATAAAAGTAAAATTGATGCGTGCGTGTAATAAAAGTGTAGAAGAGAGTGATTGAACTCGATTGCGCGAGTCGATTGCTCAGATCGCTGCTTTGGAGCTACGTCCCTTCCTCTATTGACTATCTTCATCTTCAGTCGTCCTATCCTTCTCGTGTGTGCTGCTGAATCAGGTTCGTCTCTTCCAAGTAGGGTTTGCCTTCTTTTTTTTTTTTTTGATTCTTCAATTCCCCACTAGCCTAATCGGTTCCATTGTTCATTGCTAATCGACTTATTCATCAGCCTGCGAAGCAATTTGGGGCTTTTCAATTGTGTATGTTGAAAATTGTCAGTTTTACATCAAGTTTCGATTTTCACGTTTAATTGCTATCAGCCGTGACTGTCATATTTGTCAACCCTACAGATTTGGACAGAGGACCTGATTGTATAGTTGCACTAGCCCCTAGCCCCTCTCGCAGTATTGCCCAAGCATAAATCAGTTTACCCAAACTCAACCCAACCCACTAATGCTGTCTTTGGTCAAGGGATCTGACAGGAGTTTAGAAAGGAAAATAGAAAAGAGAAGTGAAATGCGAATAAAATATATCTACATTTTACTAAGTTTTACGCACTTTTTCCTTTTCAAATCCCTTCCCATATCCCCTAACCACACACAGCGGTATAGAAGGAAATAAATAAATAATATGTGCTGTGCTGCGTAGCAAAGCTTTTTGTTTTGCACATCAGGTAGTCGCATTCTTGCCTGCCAATTTTTGAATCAGTGCTCTGAAAGATTGCACGCATATTCCTTGTTTTTCGTGGTTTAGAACATTAGGCATCTTCATGTTTGATTGAACCATCATTTGCCCTGTTTCAATTCTGCTCTTCACATCTACGTTTGGTGCTGTTTTACAAGTTTCATGAAATCTTTCTCATCACACCATCGTGTTACAGTGTTCATACTCAAGAGTCTGTAACTGCAATTTTTGCGAGTCAGTGAAATTTTTTATAGTGAACTTAGATGGTAATTATTAAGAAATTTGACAGTTTAATTGAGTCCTAAACTATAGCTTTACTAGCTTTGTGATTCATAATTAACTGACGGGAATTTAAGTAGTTCAACACAATATCAGGGCCACAACTAATTTCTACTCAATTCTTGCCTGTAATATTGTGCTATTGAGACCCAGATGAGATGGCCAGAACTAATTTCTACTCAATTGTTACCAGTAATTTTTATTATCTACCATGAGATCACCATAATTAATCTACGACCTTATCTATCATAGCACCATTAGTTGGGCTGGTTAGAAGAGTTGTTTTGGGAAGTAACTATTTTAGTTGCCTTTTTGACTTTTTACAAATAGACGTGCAGAAAAGTAGAGAGAATAGTTGACTTTTTTGTAGTGACTTTGGCTATTTTAGGGTGTTCCCAAAACAGCTCTAAAGGCTTCCTTTGGCATCCCACTTAAAGGCAACCTTTTTTACTTTTTTAGCACAGAAAGCTAAAAAAATCCTTTTCCAAACCCAAGTTCCCACCAAAAAGCCCAAGTTTCCAAGCAAAAAAACATTTAAGAAAAACCACTACAAAATTTCGCTTCCCAACAAAAAAACCATATGTGCCAAAAACATGACTTTATTTAAAATCAACTTGGCTTTAAGTTTTACAATTAGAGACACAAAAGCTCTCAAGCTCACAAAATACAATGTCAAAATATCATAAACTAACTACTAAAAGCCCTAACCACCTATTTATAGGCCAAAGGTCAACTAAACACACTAAACATGACAACCACACTAAGGGGTGGTTTGGAATTATCTAAATAAGTGTATTTTTTTACTTTTATGAAATATGGGTTGGGTATGGGTATGGGTTGGGTTTGAAGTGATGTAGTGGAGAGATGATGTGACTTAAATAAGATGATGTGACTTAAATAGGATAGTAACTTTTTAGCTTTTTTAAGTTATGACAAACAAAGCCTAACTCACACTACCTCTTTTTACATCAAATTCTTCCTCTAAAGTAAATAACTTGTTCTCAAGTTGGGGATATTAACCAAAACAAAAAAGACTCAACAATGACAAATGGAAGTACAATGGACAAGAAACTATGAATTAGACTACAGTGGTTGCAAGTCCTTATTTAGAAGCATCTTTACAAATACTCTTCCTTAAAAGTGAGTTTTCATTTATGCACATCTATCGAAGCCATGTTGAGGTGTGAATAATCCATGCAGCATGTGTCTTGTGATGCAAGATGTCATCAAAATAGTTTTTCGTACTTGCTTCCAACACACACCAAGGCCCATTCTTCCTTAGAAGTTTGGGTTGGCTCCACATAGCCATTTAACTCAAGTTGTCGCATGAGTGTTTCCCCTGCAAATTGGCTTAGGAAACAAAGTTGGCTTGAAGTCCACATCAACACAAAGTGGAACAACTTGCTTCGGAAGAAACACAAGAGGTATTGCTTGAGAGCAAGGTTTCAAAAAGCGGTGTTACGTAACGGTTGCGGTGGTAGGCATTACCCGTTACACCCGCTTTTGCAATATGACGGAAATGCACATGTGTAACAGCCGTAACGGCCTATTACACACCGTTACAATATTTTGAATAGCTTCTTTTCAAAAAAAAAAAAAAAAACCTTACAAAAAAATGACGAATACTCAAGTGATCTAAGTTTAAACAAAAAGCCTTGTATGAATTTTTTTTCTTTATAATTTATTTTTTAATTTTTATTTCATTACATTAGCATGTAAAATAAAAAATATATAAACAGTGATTGTATTTATTTTTATAATTATTTCATTTAATATTTAATGTAAATATTTTTTATCTTGTTACTATAATGTGTTGTCTAAAAAATGTCTTCAAAAAAAAATAGTAGCTCAAAAATAATTTTTGCTTATGGCACAATTTTTATTTTTATAATCATTTCATTTAGTACTTAATTGTAAATAATTTTATTTAGTTAGCTGTAAAGTGTTGTTTAAAAAAATGATGTTTAAAAAAAAAAATCATTAGCTCAAAAATAATTTTTATTTATGGTACAATTTTTATTTTATAATCATTTCATTTAATAATTGTAAATATTTTTTATTTAGTTATTTCTGGTATTGGTCAAAAATAATTTTGTAGGCATTTAAAATCAGTAATTCTTACAATCATTAACTGTTGAAATAAAATGTAAAAGTTCCTTTTATAGTGGTTTAAAAATATGAAATATATTAAATCATACTTAAAAACTAACAAAAGTTGATCAAAATCAATTTTCAATCCTAATAAATGTGATTCTAGAAAAAAACAATATGTGTATCGGTAAGTTTTTTTCAAATTGTGGGAAAAATTAAAAAATTCACGGTTCTAGTTACCACAACCGTTATGCTACGGCCTTTACACCTCACAACCGCGCCACCGCAACTGTTACGGTGACCGCAACCATTTTTCGAAACCTTCATTTCTAACCCCTTTGGACCAACTATATGACTCACCTCCACAACTTCCATTAAAGTGGAAAGTTGACTTTCTGCCACATCTTACATGGGCAGCAATGTAAGCAACAAAACTTGCTTGATCTTCAATAGCACACCTTCACTCTCTACAAGAAGGTCATTCTCATCATCATAATGGTCAAAGATTGGAACTTCTTATTCACAAACATCACGTTTCTCTTCATATGCACAAGCATTAACTTTTTCATAATCCAACTCCTCACTTGTTGACACATCAAATGGGAAATCATCTTGATTATAATCTTGCTCCCCTCTTCGTCAAAGATAGGAACATCTTGATACCAACCTCGTGTTTGATCATAGTCTTCTTCCATATCTTCTTCAATAAAGACGGGTGCTTCCTCATCATCATATTTTGGTTCTACAACCTCTTCACTAAGGAGTACCTTATCATGACGTTCATTGTCAAAAGTCTCCTTCATTCCAACACTAGTTGAATAACCGACTTGGACATAGTCCTATTATGGTTGTCCAAAATCAATGATGGTCATAGTATGTTTGTCCAAAATCAATGATGCCTTTGTATTGCCATGCTTCCAAATACTTGAAACACTCTTTCTTTATTGCTTGCTCAACCTCAACTAAAGCGTTGCATGTGATTGGATGGAAAAAATTGCTCATTAATCTTTTTTCTCATTTTCTTCCACTCGTTAATCTTTTATTTGCCTTTTCTTTGTTTACAAACTTGTAGTTGTTTCCCCCAATTGGAGCTACTACTTTTAGGGCGTGGAGAGACCAATTTCACCGTCTTTCCTTATGGCACATCATGATACTCCAAAAGGCACTCAATTGTGTGTGTGTGTGTGTGTGTTTTTTTTTTTTTTTTTTGATCAGCAACAAGGAAGAATTTTATTGAAAAGGGGGACTCTCAATTGTGTTTAACCATTCTTGAAACACATCTAGAATGTAGCTCGCATGAAATTTGAGAAATCCAAAATCCTTGACGTCATAATCCCGTGTAGACTCAAATTCATTGGAATATGTTCTACGCCAATGCGGATCATCATCCTTGGATTCTCAAATGCAATTTGATGATCCTTGGATTCATCACTACATTCGGTGAGAAGTTATAACCATTGCACTCTCCCGATCAAAGAAGAAACTTGTTTACTCAACTCTTCAACCTCATTCCTTTCATCTTGGTTTATCATTGGTTCTTCCAATTGATGATTCATGTCCACATCTTTACCCAAATGTGGAGCAAAAGCTTTTCCTCTCCCTCCTTGTTGATCTCTCCTTCGTTGAGTCATCAAATTAACTCTACAATAAACAAGAGTGCACTGTATTGCTTCAAGTCTTGATTAAACCAAAAAATTGTAACTCACTCGTTGAGTCAAAGAACTGTAAACTCATTCACTTAGTCAAATAAAGGCAAATACTCCAAATCAAAATTGATGTTCCAAAGAAAAACAAAGTTGACTCCTAGACAAATCGCTAATAAAAGTAATGAAGGGAGATCTCAACGCAATTACTTTGATGACAATCGAATCAGTGCAGTTCACAATCTTCGATCGAGTTCCACAGTAGTCCTTCGAAATCACAATGCAAACTAAAATCAGAGTCGACCTAGGGTTTCAAAGTCATTTCAGCTGGCTTTGAAATCAAGAGAATCTAGATCGAGAGTTTGAATCGTGATTCAAGAGTCAAGTTGTGAAAGTGGAACCTAGGTTATACAATTTTAGGTCAAATCTGCGATTGATTATATGGGAGGCCTAAGGCACCAAAGTCAATGCATGTCTTCAAGTTTGATTTGATGTTGCAAGTGAGATCAAGCCACTATGGTGAGATCACAAGTCCAAACCAAACCTCTAGGTTGAACAATTTGCACAATCTGAGAAGATTTGGCTAAGATCCAACTTGTACATTGATAAGATTCACTTCAATTGTGTTGACTAGGCTTTGCAAGGCATCAAATTTCCACTAGAAACATATTCTGCTTGAATCGAAGTAGGTCGATAGAAATCTAGTTGCGTGTTACAGCTAAACTGTCACGGGGCAATTTTGATTCTCTTCGAAGCAAATGCGAGTATCTTTCTCAATCAGCTCGAATTTGAGTTAGATAGATTCTTGAATCATGAAATTGTTGAAGCAACAAATTAGGCAGAAATGACCTAACCTTTGTTCTGATACCAAAATGATGGACCAAATTTGGGAAGAGATTCCATTAGAGAGAAAAATCTCAATTGGAGATACAAGAGCTCTCAAGCTCACAAATACGATGTCAAAATCTCATAAACTGACTACTGAAGGCCCTAACCACCTATTATAGGCCAAAGGCAAACTGAACACACTAAACATAACAATCTCACTAACTCACACGAACTCTTATTACATTAGTTTCCCTTGTTAATGCAACTATCACCACATTGGCCATCTCTGGGGCTATAGTGCAACTATCACCACTAATGCTCCAATGGTTGTTATTGTCAAGGTTGCATTTAGTTGATGTGAGGGAAAAGAAAAAGAAAACAAACCTAGTTTTCTTTGAAGTATGTTCATTCAGTTGTTGCAAGAAATGTGGGTTCCATTGACCCCTTTATTGTAAAAATACAGTGCCTAAATGTTATTGTAGGTGATGTTTTAACTTCCAAGTTTGTGTTAACTTTAGTTAACTCAAACTTGAATCCAAATTGGAATAGAAAATGATCAGTCAAGGCAAACATTGGTAAACTTGTTGGGACCTGGAGAGATTCTGCTGATTAGGAAACTCAAAAGGTACCTGGGCCATAAAGCATGGTACTTACATGAATAATACCATGTTTTCAATCATATGTGGACATGATTTTCCAAGTGTAGATTGTGTACTTTTCATCATTAAAATTATTAATCCCTCTCTCTTTATTTTTTTTTTGTGAACTTGCCAAAACCTGACCACTTTCATCTTTTGGACTGGCATTGATTTGCTTCCATGGTTTATCATATTTGTATGACTTTTGGGAAAACTTGCCCAATACATTCTTCTTGTTGTGGTGATCTTCGTATGTTAGCATTTAATGTTCGAAATCCCTTTACTTGTACGGAAAATTTTAATTGCTCTGTTTGTTTCAACACTTTCTAGAAATGGTTTCCCTTGGACTAAGAACTGGAGGATACAAGCAAGTTGTTATTTCTAATTATGCCATTCAAACCAGACCAACAAGTTATTTTCAGATTGAATAAATACTTGTACGGTAAATTTTGGTATAATCTTAAAAAGCAAGCAACAGTCCCAGGGCAATAAAATATGAAAAATATATATTTTGCATGCTATGTGGTTGAACAACATGATTTGCAAATAAAAATGTTAATGCTATAATAAGTTCATATATTGGTGGAAGTACATTTGAAAGCATTGAGTGCCATCGTTGCAGGTGGAGGATAATAGCATCTTCAGGATTGTTATTTAGGTTTAGAGACATCGGACCAAAGATCTTCATTTGTTGTACTATGATACTTCACATTATTCTTGGTTTATTTATTTATTATGTTTTCCAGATTTTATGCCTTTGTAAATTATGTATGTTATTTTGTGCTCCCACTTTTTTACCAAAGAATTGTTGTGTTCCCATTAATATATCTTTGTTTAGTGATATTACAATTTTGTGATTTGAATTTGCCTTAATTTTTGACCCACAAGACAATGCCTTTTCCTCATGACTTGTATTTCTTGAGTTTGGAAAATAATTTCATAGTTGACTGGAATTTCTTACATTCTTTTGGTACAGAGCATGTGATTATTGTTTATATGATATATGGACAAGTTCATTACTCATAACAGTGTTTAATAGATGAAGATTCATCTTTGCGAGTGTAAAATTATGAGTTCTGCTGTTCTTGGTATTTAGGAGCCTACAGAATAAAGATGAATGTGCAGGTACATATGTCAGGACAAATCTCAGGACAGGTACCTAATCAAGCAGGCACTCAGTTGCCTGGATTACCTCCCCAGAATGGAAGTTCTCTCTCTAACCATATACAAAATTTAGCTGGTCAGTGTAATACACTGAATATGGAGCCTGAGCTAGCGAAAGCTCGCAGATTTATGCAAGAGAAAATGTAAGAAATTTCTTAGTTATTTGCTATATTCATTATGGGTTTGTTGGGGTGAGCATGCTTTTGTTGGAGGAGAGATGCAATGGGTCAAAAAATGATTTATGGCAGCATTTTTTTGTACGAAATAAGGTTACATTAGAAAAGTCATAACAAGAAATCAGGTGTCAACGTAGGCAACATTAATATGACCACATTCGCATGACATGACACTATCAGTCTTCAAGTGCTATTCAATACCAACTGATTGCTATGTTGCTCAATCATTTTTTCTAAACGAAAATTAATAAATAAGAAAAAGAGCCACTTGTTACTCCTTTTCTTTTCTAGAGGGGAAAAAAGAGATGCTTCTTTCATATGTTGTGTATGTCATCACCCTGTGGGTCAACCAAGTTATACTATCATTTAGCTTTAACATGGTGTGGCATGTGGGTTGTTATCTGATTTGTGTTGTTTAACCATTGAACGCAAAGTCTAAGGATGAAAGCTTGTTCTCAGAAAGATGGAGTATTATTTGTGTGATATTCAAATTAATTGCTAGCTGTATGTATGTTGTTTTTAGAGAGTGATGACCAATAAACACTATGGTGTAAAAGAGCATTACACCCTAACCAAAGGGCTGAATGTAATTTGCCCCAACTTGTGTTTCAGTTTAGCAATCTCCATCTTAAAATTGTCCACATGGGACCTCTTTATGGAGATTTCATCATTTAAGTTATGTCAAATGTGCTTAACAATGTTAATTTATAAGGAATCACATGCTAGAAATACATGTTTGCTAGTATATGAAGTTATGCACTGTAGATTTTATTTTTGGGAAGGCAAGTTACGTGGTTAAAAATTGCTTGTTACAGCATTGGATGATTTGCAAGAAAACTTTACTAGTTTTGTAACATTGCGGCTCGTCTTTTTCTATCTTTATATCACATAATTTCTGCATGGAATTTGAGCCTAATGGGTCCTCAATAGACAACCCTTCCTCCCATCTTGTCCCCTCAGAAAAGATGCTGGGAGGAGTGCACTGGGTGGTTGCACAAACTAATTACTGCTAGACTTGAACCTGCATTCTCATGCTTGGTAGTCCGAGCTTTTACAAATTGCACCCAACAATGGGCCCTGCTTAAGTAGACACTCCTGCCAAGTTATGGTTTCTGTTCCTGTCTCTTTATTTATTTATTATTCCTGTTGCTGATATTTAATTATGTATTTGAGATGGATGACTCCATACTGTTTGTGTGATACATGTCTATAAGATTTTTCATATAGCATTGAATACTGATCAAACTTTGTATCTCCTTTCCTCCAGCTATGATTTTCTTATGCAGCGGCAGCAGCGAACTAATGATATACCACCAAAGCGGGTTCTGGAAATTGTAAGACGCCTAGACGAGGGTCTATTCAGAAATGCTGCCACTAAGGTTTTTTATAGTTGTGCTATGTTTTCATCTTTGTGCAAATTGTTCCCTTGTTTTCAATTGAGTAATAGCATAGAATGACTGTTACCACCTTCTTTTTTGTGTTAATACCAAAAGGATCTTTTGCATTATTGAACAACTTAAAAAATAAATAAATAAAATTTAACTACCAATTAGTTTGCTATATTATGTCGACCCTAGTGTGTTTTATTTATAATAGGGGCTTTCTTGTATCGCTAGGAGGAGTATTTGAACCTGGAGACTTTGGAGAATCGTTTACATGTTTTGATTAAGCGTTTACCAATGAGTACTCACAACCAACAATATCCGCGCCTTGTTAATGCTCCTTCTCCTATTGGTACAATGATACCAACCCCAGATAGTGCGAATTCAAGCGTGATGGTTGCATCGGCTGTAGATACTTCCATGATTGCTACCGGTGGTGGTAATAGCATGCCATCTGTGGCTGTCAATACTGGAAGCTTACTACCTCCTGCTAATGGGTCGTCTGTTGGGATACATGGTGGTTCTTTCAATTCTCAAGTACCAGCGAACTTTTTGCATGAGCAGAATATTCAAGAGGAATTCCATCAGAGAATAGCTGTGCAAGATGAAGCTCAGCTGAGCAGAATATTCAAGAGGCATTCCATCAGAGAATAACTGTGCGAGATGAAGCTCAGCGCAATAATTTATCTTTGGATATTTGTGAAGATTATTATTGACGAAATATGTATTGAGACTATAGTTGAAATTATGTTATGAAATGGATATTGAATTCGGTAATGGGAGTGTTGTTTGATGTAAATGAGTAGCATGAGAGTACAAAGGATTAATTGTGGATTGATTTTATAAATAAACAACGTGATGAAATCATTTGGATTATAAAAGATGAGCCGTAGAGTTGTTGAAATGGTTAATGTGTATGATATTGGAAATGTGGTTCAGGTTTGAAAATCTTTTTGAATTGAAAATGATGAGTTACAAACAAGGTTTTGAAAAGTGATTGTGATCGCTGTAACGATTGTAGTGACGCGGTAACAGTGCGGGATATAAAGGACTTAGTATAACGGTTGCAGTAATTGAAACGGTGATTTTTTTTGTTTTTCGCCCAATTTCAAGAAAACTTACCGTTATGCATGTATATATATTTTTTCAAGAATCACATTTATTAGGATTTAAAATAAATTTTGATCAATTTTTTTTCAAAATCACATTTATTAGGGTTTAAAATAAATTTTGATCAATTTTTGTTAAGTATGATTTAATATATTTCATATTTTCAAATCACTATAAAAAGAGTTTTTAACATTTTATTTTAATAGTTAATAATTTTAAGAATAATTAATTTTAAATGTTTACAAATTATTTTTTACCAATACCTAATAAAAAATATTTACAATTATTAAATGAAATGATTATAAAATAAAAATTATGCCATAAATTAAAAAAAAATTATAAAGAAAAACAAATTCATATAAGATTTTTTCTTTAGGTTTAAACCACTTGAGTATTTGTTCTTTTTTTGTAAACTTTTGTTTTTATTTTTTGGAAAAAGAAACAATTCACAATATTGTAAAAGGGTGTAACAATGTCTTAATGAACCGTTATGGTACCGCAACGGCTGTTACGTAATATCGAAACGGCTATTATACATGTGAATTTCCGTCGCACTGCTATAGCGGCCATAATGGGTGGCAGTTTCATCATGGTACTCCATTCCAGGGCCAGGCTTTAGTTGATTCCCCAGATCAGAAGTCAGCTGAGAATGGCCAAAAGAATCATTCTTTAACAATATCTGGTGCTGCCGAATTTTCTGCTTCTGTTGGCGTTGATGTTGAACAAATTGTTGTTGTAACTGATGAGGCTGCTGATGATGAGACTGTAAGAGACTCTCTTGCAGTGAGTTTGAGGCTTGGAAATTCATTTTTTCAGATTAATCAATTGATTGAGACTTTATATGTGTAGCCTACTGGGCGGTATGAAAATTGGGTTGATTAGTCATCAAAGGAGAGTTGGTTCTGGACATAGACTGCGAGTTTGCTGGGTTCAAATTTTGATTATTCATTACTGAACCAGAAAAGCTTACAGGACCATAGAAGTTTCCAGACCCAGAAGAATTGGGAGTGCTCTGCCATAACCATCACCTGCCAAATATATTATGAAGCAGTAAGAATGTAGTTCTATACAAAAACTACAACTTAAAGGTCATGTCTTCCACATGTTTCTGGAGGCTGGAAGGTGACATGTCATGCATTAGAAGATGTACCATACTGAAAATAAGAGAATACCCTGCAACTTTGGTCGCTGATGTTGATCATAGTGTTGTTGAAGAGGTAGGGGTGAATTGCATATGTTGTCGTCGTCAGATACCCTCAGAAGTTACAAGACCATTGATCATCTGCAAATTGCTACGCATCATACCCAAACTACCTTTAAGGCCCCATTTGAAAATCCATAAGATTTTGGCTGCAAACAAGACCTAATTCTGCCACCTATATGGCTACCAAGGTTGTGTAGTATCCGGCTGGTTTGACTCCCGACATGCTGCTTTTGTGGCAGTGTTTGTGATGCCATTGTAGATTCAACAATTGAAAAAGCACCAGTATCTAAGAAGCACTGACACTTTTAAGAAGGTGACGTATCCGTGTCGTGTCTGTGTCGAACACCAACACTCTTTGGACACTCTTAAAACACGTGTCCGACACTCTTCAAAACGTATCCTATTTTTTAAATTTTTTTAAAGACCTGGACACTCTTTGGACACGCGTGTTTATCGATTAGACATATGGGAAACTAATTATAAGTTTGAACAAAACAACTTAAGATACAATAATAAAACAAAAACTATGTAAATTTATAGGAATTAGTGTTATATTGCATTATTTATTATCTTTGAATAATATATTTATATATATTACATATAATAAATATATAAACTCATATATTTCATGCGTGTCGCCAACGTATCGTGTCCTTTTTTTAAAAAAATTAACGTGTCGACGTGTCCGTATCGTATTCGTGTCGTGTCACATGTCTGTGTCCATGCTTCTTAGACCAGTATTATTGGAAGATTCCAAATTCATGTAAGATTGATTATTGTTGCTATTAAATCCAGGAGTAGGGATCATTTGGCTTGTTATTCTTTGTACACCAATTGAGGACACCATGTTGCACAATGTATTCTGACAAGCAAATGTTATAAATTATTGTAGTTGAATAGTTCATCACCATACATATGAGAGAGCACATTTATTACTTAGCTATTTATTCTTGCTTCCACTTTTATTGCTATAGAAATAAATTATAATTAGAGATTAGATAATAATATTCGAGTAATAAAATTTTGGCGTTACAGAAACTGGCCCAGGTATTGTTTTGCTAAGTTAAATTGCTCCCTTTCTCCTATGAAGCGAGAACCAATGTTAGCCTAGAGTATCGGTTTATTTTGCAATACTAGTAGAGCGGGCCATTTGGGTACAAATAACAAAATTAAATTGTGTTTGAATTATAAATTAAAATAAAAATTTTAAAATAAAAATGAAAAATAAAAATGAAATGTGAATCAAATATAATTATATTTTATCAACATTTTTTTATTTTTTCCTTCTAAATTACTACTAAAATATATGATACAAGTACAACCTTAATTGTTTTAGGGGGAATTGCTGGGCAGTGGAGCAAACGGAACTTCCTTACAAAGCAGTGGGAACAGGTAAAGTTGCCCCAGCAGTGGAGTGTGAAAAAAAAATATTACAAAGTGGTGAATTTTTTTGTCTTTTTCTACCCCACTCTCATTGACACACCTGCACACACCGTACTTCACTCTTGCTCTCTCTCAAATGAATAAAATAAATAAATAAATTTTATACTTTTTTCTTAAAATGTATATAACTTTTAATATGTAATTTGATTTTTGTAATATTAATATGGTTCAAAAGGTATTAATGATATCTTTAAAATTAGATTACAATTAATTAAAAAATCAAATAAATAAAAAATTACAATATATTTTTAAAAATAATATCAATAAAAATATATGAACGATACCGTTAAAATGGGACTAATATTAAACATGTTTAATAAGAAAATTAAATTAATAATTTAAAGCAAAAAATAATTATATTTTGTATGGTTACAATAATGTCACTAAAATGATTTTTGAAAGTTATTTTTATACTCATCATTTTTTATAAGTCACAAAAACAATTTTGAATTTTAGAATTATTTTTTAATATTTATTTTGTCAAATAAAATATTAATAAGTTTGAAAAAAATATATTAAAAAAATAATACAACGTTCAAATAATTATACTAGAAAATTTTAAATAATTAAAAATTATAGAGATTTGCATTCCCAAACACACTTTTGCACCCCTATAGTGATAATCTTAAATCCGTCCTTAATCCAATTTGTGTTTGTTGGAAAAATTAGTTTTATAAGGCTTATTTTGGATCAATTTTAAGCCCAAAATTGAGTGGGTCCCAAACGTCTTTTGGGATGAGTTCGAAAAGATGACGTGTTCTTTGCCGCATGACAAATCATACAGTGAAGACGATTCGTCAAAACTATTTATGAGTGAATGGGAAGTTGACGTCGTTTTTGGGTTCGTAGAATGGACAATTTCAAGAATTAAATATGGGTTGCCTTGAAATAGGTTGTCCCACATTGAAACCTTAAGAGAATTTGTGTATGTATATAAACTCTAGGTGGCAACACTTAGGTTGGGCCCCAAAGGGCACTCCAAGTTTGTAGAAGGGAGGAGTTATGGACAAATGAAACCTTAGCCCAAACCACCACACGTAAGGGCGTTCGACAGGCCGAGTCGTGTCGGGTGTGGGTTGTGGGTCGGGTCGGTTCTTATATTAATTTTTTGACAAAACTCATTTTTACCTCCTCCAGTCCATTTATTCCTAACAGATTAAACTGTCCATACAGGTTTCAAATCTGTTTGAACCCGAACAGATTCAAATCTTCCAAACAGGTTTTTTAAACTGCTACAGTTTCAACAGATTTAACTACCTAGCAGTTATCTATTGAAACAGTGCTGAATCTGTTCAGTTTAAATTTTGTATCTGGTCATTCAAAAAATAGCACATATTCGGCAGATTAATTTGCCTATATATACCAACCATTTCAACAGTCTTTGACATCCAAAAAACAGTCTAAAAATTACTTTTGTGTTGTCCAATTTTCTGCTCTATTACATATATTCTTCATATTAGTTTTTAGAAAAATTAAAGAGAGTATAGAACACAAGTTCTAGTTCGCCGAACAAATTGTTTAGAGTGCTATTACAATTTGCAAAAATCATTGTATCTTGAAAGATAGATGCCACTTAACCCTAAGCACCGTAGCAGGACGAATCTGTCTTAAGGACAGAGTGTCACACACTCGACTTGATCTTTTTATTATTTTTCGGTTCAGTAAAATAATTTCAGTACGTTATTTATTTTATTTGTTTGATTTAGTTTTAATTTATTTCTTGTATACAGAAGATTGTTCCAACAATCTTAAAACAAATTCGAATTATTCTGTTTATACAGAATTTTTCGTTTGTTTCCTTTCTTCTTTCTTCTTCTTACAGAAATTATTTTTTGTGATTTTATAAAAATAATATTCTGGTTAGAAAACAAATAGTAGTAATATACTGTTTGACAGATAGTAGTAATATACTGTCTATTTTCTTTGACGACTAGTAGTAATATACTGGTGTCATTAACAATTCAGAATATTTATTTGTGGAATTTTTTCAGAAATTAATTTGGGTTTTTAGAAATTATTTTTTGAGTGTTCATTAATTAAAATTCTATTTCAGTATTTTAATTATTGAAGTGTTACATAAATTTAATTTTCTGTGTGGAATTAATTTGGTTAAATAAAATTTTA